ATCTCAGTGGCCCTGCCCTGCCTGGATCTCAGGGGCCCTGCCCCACCTAGATCTCAGTGTTTCTGCCCCTCCTGGATCTCAGTGGCGCTTCCCTGCCTGGATCTCAGTGGTCCTCCCTGGAACTCAGGGGTCCTGACCCTCCTGGATCTCAGGGGTCCTGCCCCTCCTGGATCTCCGCAGCCCTGCCCCGCCTGGATCTCAGTGGTCCTGCCTGGATCTCAGTGGCCCTGCCCTGCCTGGATCTCAGCGGCCCTGCCCCTCCTGGATCTCAGCGACATGACCTCGGGCCCGGAGACCTGCCTCCTGGTTCCGTGACCGGAGTTGTCCTGCAAAAGTGTAGTAACACCACGTCATAATAAGCTGGGACTCAAATGGGGCAGCTCTCACCTGCCAACAGCATGCCGTGAAATTTTAGGGGGACCAGTGGGGAGAATTCACACCGCATTTGCAGGTCCGTCCTGCCTCCCCTCAGTTTCACCAACAAGGAGACAGGCCCAGACCCGCACCCCACCTGCCTGGGTCACACGGGAGAAAAAACAGGGACGGTCGCCTTCCTGCTGTGTAGGCTTAAAAACGACACATACACGTTAAAGCACAGGAGGTAATTACTTGCAATGAATAGACCTCACTCAATTGTAAGCCAGGCCCAAGGCCGGCCAGGATGTTTCTTTCACCGTCATTTCCAGAACCTTCCCTCATATAAAACACAGAGGGACAAACTGGATATAATAGGCCGGTAACTGTGGCAGAGAGAAACAGGTAATTGAATTCCTATAAAGAGAAATACACTGTTGTTATTTCCGACAGCCTCCTAATTTGGGTCCAAGAAATTAGCCGTAGGGAGTTAATTGGATGGATGCGTGTAACTTTGCTGGAATCATATTTCTGATCACATGCTTTGGTCCGGGGTTGTAGGAACTCACTGTGAACCTTTAAAGGATGCATTGTCATGTGGTCCTTCCACACGAGGCGCAGGGGAACATCCGGGACCAGGGCCCCCCTCCCTCCACACCAAGCCCAGGGGCCCATCGGGGACCAGGGACCCCTCCCTCCACACCAAGCCCAGGGGATCATCAGGGACCAGGTCCCCCTCCCTCCACACCAGGCCCAGGGGACCATCGGAGAACAGGGACCCCCTCCCTCCACACCAGGCCCGCCCCCTCCACACCAGGCTCAGGGGACCATCAGGGACCAGGGCCCCCCTCCCTCCCACCAGGCCCAGGGGATCATCGGGGAACAGGGACCCCCTCCCTCCACCCCAAGCCCAGGGGACCATCGGGGACCAGGGACACCCTGTCTCCACACCAGGCTCAGGGGAACATCGGGCACCAGGGATCCCCTCCCTCCACACCAGGCCCAGGGGACCATCGGGGACCAGGGACCCCTCCCTGCACACCAGGCCCAGGGGAACATCGGGGACAAGGGACCCCTTCCCTCGACACCCGACCCAGGGGCCCATCGGGGACCAGGACCGCCCTCCCTCCACAGCAGGCCCAAGGGACCATCGGGGACCAGGGCCCCCCTCCCTCCACACCAGGCC